TCCTGTTAGGCTATCATCCAATGCAGAATAGGTTGCAGCATTCCAAAGGAGGGGGCCTTTCAGAAATTCTAGTTGTGCGGATTTTGTTAAGCAGTCGTTGTAGGTAAATCTGTATTCTTGTAATAGTATAACATTCGGTTTGGGGTGTATGTTTAGCATGAAATCTCGCAGTTTGCGACGTTTTTTCACGCTCGACAGTCCTTTTCTCAAGCATTGGATGTTGAATGAGGCCACCGTTTGGCCATCATTCATGGATTGGAGATGGATTGTCCGACCTCAGTTTCTACTCAAAGCGAGATGGGGGGGTCAGAAATGATATCGTGGTGGGTTCAGCCTGTTGTGGGGTCCCGAGTTTTGTTGTCCAATCCACATAGGTTAGTGAGTGAAGGCGTTCTAAAATGGGGCACTGGGGATTTGCAGAGATAAGGGCAATGTTTTCCAGTATACGTTGCTACTCTGTTTGATCTGGGTGCATTGGTCATCAAAGGGAATAATGACTAGTTAGTCGTTTATAGGTAGGTCCTCTGTAGTTTTCCATTCCAATATCCAGAGTGCATCTGTCCATTGTCTCAATGGATTTGGTCCATTATTGGTATTAGTAATTATCGTTCTGAGTCCTTGCATTGTGGTGTTAACTATGTGTACACGTGCAGAGGTTTTGGACTAATCATGTTCGTTGAGCGCGTGTTGTAACTGTGTTTTGTAGAGAGGAGCATCATTGTACTTGTGGACCAGAACTTCCAAGGAGAGGTCCAGAGCAACTCGTACCAGCATCAGAGTGATGATTCCTTGTGAAGTGTTGCCGTATGGCTGTTTGAGCTCTAGTGCTTGCCAAAATTTAGGATGTGTTAGTGGGGAGTCGTAGGAGATTGGTCCTTTGAGTATTACCGGTTGTGTGTTCACCTGGGGGTGGTCTTGTTTTTTCCTTTCGATCCAGACAAATTGTGGTCTCTAGTTCAATGCCGTGGGGCTTTTGTGAGGGCTTGACCGGCTATTTGTCGAGGGCTCTTGATCTGTCACTGGGTTGATCGCGCTGGAGTTGTCTGAGTGGGGAGGGTTGTTGCGTGGTCTCTTCCCGTTTTTTTTCTTGATGAGTGGGCAGTTTTTAGCATGGTGTAAGGTGTTGCGACATTGGTTACATTGGATTGGCAGACCACTGTAGTCGATGATATACTCTCTTTTGCCACCTAGAAAGTTGGGTAAGACCATTGAGTAGAGTAGTTTTGTGATGTCGTCCACTAATATTCGTACTCGGGGGCCTGAGACTTTGCTTCTGTAGGTTTCGGAAGGGTCGATCGCTATCACCTTGTTGATGCTGCTAAATGCCTCCGTGAGAAGTTGTGGGGTGCGGAGTAGGCATCGTAGTCCCCTAAGTTGGGCCCAGATTGGGTAGGTGACATGTTGGGAAGTTGACGCAGATTTGGGGTCGAAATCAGCTCTCCATGTAGAGAATAGGATGTCTTGATTATTGAATTTGTATCATTTGGTTAACGTTTGTGTTTTGCCGTGTTCACTCTTGAAATGAATCTCAAAGTAGCCTCCTCTTAGCATCGTTATTGAGGAATATGAAGTATGAAGTACGTAAGTGGCCCATTCATGTAGAATCCTTGGGCCGGGGTTCTTCTTCAGGTAGCCTATAAGAATGTGTCGCTCTTCATGTGCGATTTGTTCCTGGAATTGTTGTAGTGTGTTCATGCTAAGGGTGGCTTTGATTGTGCTATGGGCAGGTTGCAGTGGCGAGGACGTTGTGCCAGGTGGTGTAGGTGTGAATGTATTACCGATGGTGGCGGGGTCGATGCTATAGGCTTGCAGAAGAGTCTTTGCGTCCGGCTTCAGTTGTTCTGAAAGTCGCTAGAGCTCTTCCTCCACGGTATATTGGTGTATTAATTCAATTTGTGGGTTTTTCTGAATAAATGCTTCGGCTGCGTCCCATTTTGCTTGAATGAAGGTTCTAAGGTTTTCCATCGTGTAGTATGCTAGGTCCAATGCCTTCTGTATGATCAGTGTGTCTATGTTGATGTTCGGATTGATCATGGTGTGAGGAGTTGGGTTGGTTTCTGTGTGGTCCAGCAATCTAATGTCGAGCGAGTTGGGGGTGGGAGTTTGATCTATATCGAGGGGTGAATCCCCGTAGGTTGTGTTCCCTGTTGGCCCAATCCCAGATGTGTCCTTGGTATCCTTGTGTAATGCCGAGTGTGACTCTGTCTCGTTCGGAGAGTAGTTGGGAGTTTGTTGGTTAATAAACGGAGGTGGTGCAGTCCCAATTTCTCCGAAATTGAAGGTCTCTTCTAATCCAGTTGTATTTGTGCCCTTGGTCCTATTCGCAGTGGGATTTGAATCCACACCCGTTCAGATCAGAAGTTTAATCCGGCGCCTCAGACCATCTCGGCCACATGAACTTACTGAAGGGGAACTCGTTCCTTGGCGCCTTATCAATTACCAACACATTGCTTAGCTTTTGTTGATGTGAAGTGGATGATTTTTCTTCAAAATATTTAATCATTGTAGAGGATTTGTATTGTTTACTTCAAATGCTTTATGATTTTTGTTAAATTTTATACGCATTTAAAAAATAATGGATTATTTATCTAATTGAGATTAGAAATGAATCCAAAGATGGAAACAATAATAATAATTTTTTAAATATAAAAAAATAAAAGCCAAAAGATAAATCAAAGCTGTTCTTGACAATTGTGATGTTTTAACTATCAAAAAATCTAATTTCTCTAAATTTTAATTTTTGGGGATTATAATGTCGAAATTTTAATGCATTAAAAAAAATGTATTGAACTCCAATTCAAAATAATCTTTTATTACAGTATTAAAGAAGATTTATTGATGATTTTTACACTTGACTTATTTGTACTAATTTTTTTGGTTTTTATAAAATATATTTGTTCTGAATTTTTTTAAATATCTACTGACAATATTGCTGAAATTTAAAATAAATCAAGGGTTTTTTATAATATAATTTAAACCATAATAAGAAAAATAAGTACTTTGTAATATAACATTGTAAATATTTATGGATATTTTAAATAATACAATAATAAAATACTTGTCTTAAATATAATAATTTTAGATATTAAAAATGTTCATGGATGATTTTAAATATTTAAGGATAGAACTAAAGAAAAAAAATTAAAAAGGTAAAATATTAAAATCTTTTTGTATTGTAAAAGGTTTTTAAATCATTATAACCTTTTAATTTGTATTGGTTTAAATTTTTCTACTTGGACAATAATAGTATGAGTAAAATCAAATTAAGTGCTAAAAACTCTAATTTGTATGCAAAGATATAAATATATTGTATGTGTAATGAAGCAAAAAATATTTTAAAATAAATTCTTGATAAATATGACAATGTAACTTATGCATTTTTTAAAAGTATATGTTTAATGTTTAATGATTCATAGAGAAACTTTTAAATTGCACTTCAATTTTTGGCATTTTTATATATATATATATATATATATATATATATAACTTTTTGTCTTTATAACTTTTTAATTTCACTTTCTCTTTTCCTAATTTCTTCTTTTCAACCATCATCATTGTAGTTATTTGGAGTAATTAGAGTGCTAGTTTGAGTTGATTGAGAATTTTGCTCAAGTATAATTCAATGGTGCTACAATTAAGGCCTATCTTGGTGGTGACAAATAAGTGTTTGAAAAAGAAGATGTATATTTGCATTGGATAAAATTATAAATTTTATAAAAAAGAGTGTTAAATTTAAATACCATGTACTATTTTATTTTATTTTATATTATTTTTATTTACAATTAGTTCTATGCATACAATTTTCTTGAGATTTTATCATATGAAAGCTAAGATTTTATATATGACTTTAAATCATTGAGATGAGTTTGGATCGTTTTTATTTTATTTTTATTCACTTCTTTTTTTAGTGTTAAATATTTGATATTTTATGACCTTTTCTTTCACTTGTGTGTGTCATAAGAAATTTAAATGAATATTTGTACAATATTTATTATTTAAATATATATTTAAATAATAGATATCATAACTTTATATGCAAATAATATTTTTAATTAATAAAAACTTATAAGTCTCATGTTAATGTTTCACAAAGAGAGTGTTTTTAAATTTACATGATAGTTTAATATTATAATCTTGCCAAAATAAAAAGAATCATACATACAAATTGTAGGTGACAAGTTGTGGTGGCATTAACAATATGCTTCAAAGCATTTATAAATCTCCTAAGAAATTCTAAGATTCATATATCTTATGAGTTTTTATTTTTTTCACTTAGATTTTGAAAAATAACTACACTTCAATTTGTTACTATTATGTTAAGCTCTGCACTGAATGATCTAAAAATCAAAACAGTTGCCTTGTTTGATCAATTCGTTTGAACTTGTCTGCTTTGTAGTAGATGTTATTTTTATCAATTCCACCCAAGATCTTAGTTAATTTACACAAGCTTGTTTAAAAACGTTGAACTAAATCGTCTGATGCCCGTAGAAATATAATCTTCACCTAATTTCCGTGGAAAAATCTTTCTTTTCAATTCAAGTACTTCATTGTTGAGTTCGAAATTATTTAAGAAATAAAAACTTACAATCGTTAATAAGATTTTCTAATGAACGGTTCAAAGTGCCAAAATCCACTCGTATCAAGGGTCCTGCGATGGCACTGCCTCAGGTAATTTCACTTCGCAGCTTTACCACAACTATTCAACACCCATACAAGTTCGCCTTACTCCATTATAACTGTAAATAGTTACTCCATGTGGTGATTTTTACGTGAATGCCGTTTATTTTTTATAAATTAAAGACCCAAGGTACCTCCATGTAAACAACTTCGCCTTACTACATTATAAACATGTAATTGTCATTGGTTCTGGAGTTTCAATGCTAACCGTAATACCGTAAAACTTCCCAAGCACAATGTTATGGCTCCTAGAGATTTATGAATGTAAAGTAAAGAGATTGTTTCTCATTCAACACTGTCAAGTCATTTGTAATGCACTAAAAGACGAAGAAAGATTAGGAGAAGCAAGAGACGGATATCTCTAGAGAACCCCCCCATATCTAATATGAAATTTTGTGTTTTCCCTGACATAGAACAGCATTCAGCGGTAATCAGATGCACCATTGATTTCAGTATAGACATTTCTAATTGATTCTACTTATAAGGCCATCAGAACAACTTTGGACCAGACATAACAGAAAGACCTCTAATTGCTCAAAAGAAGGCTCCATAGAACATAAATACCTCTCCAATCTTTCATATGTAACCTCTAACATGAGTAATCAGACCTTGTCGCTACACAACACAAGCAACATCTGGTGGGGTTCCTAGTGATGTTCATCAGATCCAGGCTTTCCACCCGGTCCTATCACCTTTAACTGCCATATCACGAACAAGCACCCTATTACTCCCAAGCATGAAAACATTATTTGTGCAATATTGCAGTAAGAACATTGTCAGAATACTGACACAGTTAGTGAACCAGCCTATCATTGAAAACGGACGACTCAGCTCAAAGAATAACTGTGCAGTGGTACCCACAAGTCATGCTTAGCTACAAAAAAGTAAATGAAGATTGAAGCGCAACAGTGTCATAATATAAATTACCTCAAAAACCTGGGTGCACACGGGGCACTCGTGCGTTTGGCCCTTCTCCAAAGTGAACCACGTCACATCATGCTCGTCCTCTGTCCATACCGTGGCATTCAAAAAAACAAAAAATTAGTTGCTAATATTGGCAAAGATGGGACCAGGGTTGGAACGACCAAAACCTTGTAGTCTCTAAGGAATTGTTCCCTTGCTGTGATGCGCAAGGAGTCAGGTACTTTTGACGAAGCACAACATCAGGCTCAAATTACTAAGTCGCTCATTTTAAAACTATGCGTTAAAATGATTAATTTAAAATAAGAACTTGGCTAATTTCCAAGTAAAGTTGCGATTCAAACATCTTAACATGCGCACTAAATCACAACTACCTCAGTGTCTAACACCCGAGTCAACTTCAACAACAGTGGCATCGTCCCCTGTTCCCAAACTGATAAAATCAAGAAATCATCAACCATGGCGGCATTTAAAACAACATGACGGATCACATCTCAAGCTATGTTTGTATTGTTTAATGTCACTATAATTCGAGTAATGATGGCATCTTCGCTTGTGATACAATAGGGTGTCACTCAAAACTAACAAAACAGAAACAGTGCCCGAGAACCTTACCACCGAGACCTCCTGAACATCCAACGATCCGTTCATCGTAGTTCGACTCAATGATTGCAGGAGCTTCCTGATTATCATGTGAAAATGCAAAGGATTAGCACAATAAAAAGCGACTTCGGTATAACTTTAGTACAAATTTGGTTTATATTTTGGTTCGGCTGTGACTTTCAATAGGTCTAAGTTGAGAAGAAGGACACGGCAGATGATGTAGGCAATAATGACGAACGAGACCCATACCTTAGTACCGAAAGGCCCACGGGGTGGGTCGAGGTCGAAGCGCTTTTTTCCCTGAAGAAAATCCAGTCATACACGACAATTAATATGAGTCCTGAGCACAGACAATACCGAGTGCATCAATCCTCAATGATAAAAGTCTGTACCTGACTCTGGTATTCCAGCTCTTCACGCTCGACTCCGGTCGCAATCCCGAATTCATCCAATGCGCCTGCCAAACAAACACAAGAGCATTCTTTATCATTCTCCGATAAATGGAGATACCTAATAAATCGGTCGCATTAGACGATCCATTGTACTACTAAGCATGCAACTCTATTATGATAACGCTAAAAACATCCAGACATATATGGGGAGCATGCATCTCACGCTATGTAATACTTTGAACAAGATATGTGAACTTCCGATGTTGCGATCCAAAGTGTCGAGCATCTCAAACATAATTGGGACATACATTGTAATTGATCTGGCGCTTTGAGCCCAAAGCGGCGAGGAACACAAGCTTGAAAACCAAAATTCAGAGAAGACCTAATCCAAAGTCGAAACAGAAAAGGTTACAAGACCCAGCAGGCAGACACACTACATGCACAGAACTCAAATATCGAATTCTTCGACACGTCAGTGGAGGACTATCAGTGTGACCCCGAGATCGAGATCGAGATCGGTACCCATGACGACGACGTCAAGCAGAGGCAACAACCAACACGTAGGAATCTCATCACCAACAAGCTAGAAACCTCAGACGTCCACAAATGATTACAGCTTTAATTATTTTCCCCCAAAACATCCTGCATATCACAAAACGAGAAGCATTTATACGGCCCCAGGTAAACGACCTCCAAGCCACAAGCGAAATCATCAAGTTCCACCTGAAACAACTGCACGCAGGAAACGATCGAAGAGCATCGTACAGAGAATCGGACACGAATCGAGAACGAGGAGCACCAGGACATACCAGATGGAGCATGGCTACCGGCACGGAACCCACTGGCATTGAACCATCTCTGCGAGGACATCAAGGCGGCCGTTGGAGGAGGGCCAGCGGGGTGCTGCGGCACCACCACAGCTCGGTGGAGCGCGCGCGACAACAAGCTTCGGCCCGCGGTTCTCAACATCGTGCACTGCTACTTCTTCCCTGACGCGACCTGACCTGGTGGCCAAGCTCGTCACATCTACAAAACGCTACTACACGGGGCGGGGGAAGGTTTAATCACTCTTCAACGAGCACGCCCGAGTGAAAAGGAACCAGAGCCTATGAACACAGCGATTGATCCGACAATGAGCAAAACCCTAGAATTTCTCCATGGTCGCGACGAGGCCCCGCTTTCCCTGTGCAAACGGTGCGCGAGAGGGTCGCTGCGGCGGTAGGGCCCTCCATCGCGACTGGTTCGCGGGCGCCTTTGCAGGTGCTCCACGGGCCAGCCGGTCGCCGTCCCCCGGTCGGACAATCCGGGCATTTGATGAACCTATTGAAGCGTCTTCCCCCGCATTCGGGGCTCCTTTCACTTCCAATTATCGTTGCCTCGTTTCTACTGGTGGAAACTATAGATTGTTGGAGACCTTTTTCATTAATTAATTAATTTTTATATAAAATTCCAATAATGAATGTGAATTTTATTTTTATCTTTATCAACATGAATAGTATTTTTTTCTTTTTCAAAAATAAAGAATATATGTAAGTTTTTTAAAAAAGAAAAATTTGTAGAAAAAATAATCTTACTATACCTAGCATTTATTTGTCAAGAATAAGATACATATTGCAAAACCACTTTCTGTTATCTTCTAAATATATATAATTAATTCCCACATTATAAAATAAACTATTTAACACAATGTTACAACTTCCAAGATCTTCAAAAGAGGTAAAATTTGAAACATAAAACAAAAGCAAACTGAATATAATATCATCCTTATAAATGATTGTAGTCAAATATTTGCTCAATAATAAAGTCTCTAATACGATTTTATATGCACCAAAAAATGTTCTTTATTTTATCATTATATGAACAATTTATAAAAAAATTGAATAAGTCTTCTACATTATGATGACAAGTTATAGAGAACTATCTATTAATTGTCTCAAATAATTTCTCTAGCTTCTATAATTCTTTGACTATTCATCTTGAAATAATCATTGTTAACTTTATAAATCTTTTCTTAAAATTCTTTTTGATATTGTTTCTTATATGCATTATTTGTTATACATAAGACATTTGGCTTAAGATATTTTCAAGCTTGGTAAACCACGTAATTTTTCATCATAATATAAAATTGGGCTTAAATTTGAAAATTATAATTTTTTTTAAAGTCATAGTATCACGAGAAGTTGGATCTTTTAATTTGTAAATTAGATGAAAGATAAACACGGAATAAACTATGTATTGAAGATTCAACAAAATAAAAGAAAAAAAAGAAAAAAGAAAACAACAACAACATGAACAATCTTTTATCTAATAATTTCATGTTCTATTAAAAAAAAAACTTTTAATTTTATAAACTTTTATTGAAAATTTCATGTAAGTAAATCAATGTGGTTTATAACTTCTGTATATATAAGAATAATAATAATAATAATAATAAAGTAATTTTTATTCATTGCATATATAAGTATCATTCATTTTTATTTTTTTAGCTTTCCATATTCCTAAATTTAATATATGATAGAACTTGTACATAAATCTAGTGTTGAATTATATTCTTAGAAGGACTAGTATATAAACGTAATATTAAATTATATTCTTCATATGAATAGTACATATATCTATTATTGTTTGTCAAAAAATTAAAGATAAAATAATATTTCTTCTTACATCATCCAAATCTCTAACATTTTACAAGTAATAAACCAATCTTAAATACAAATTAATATAAGTAATACATTGATTTAATTGAAATTAAAAGAAAAAATGATTAGTTTTAACATATCAATCTATAAAAACTATTAAATAATAATATTTATAATTAATTAATAAATTTTAAAATAAAATGATATAATGATAAAAAAATTTAACAACTATTATTATAGATATCCAATAAGATCATAGAAATATTTATAGTATATTCTATTAAATTTTAGAAGATTTTAAAAATATTCCAAAAATATTTTAAAAGGTTCTAAAAGATTATTGGAATATTTTAGCAGATTTTAGAAAGTTTTGGGAGAATTAAAGAAGTTATGTGAGAAGTTTTTTAGAATTGCTTTGTCTTCAAGCAACACTAGAACTTCTCAAAAAGCTTCTTAATACCTAGTATATATTAGAATTGAGGTTGAGAGGATATTTAGTTTCAAAAATACATCTATTTGAGTTCTAGTTCATCTCTCTAGATGTTGATTTTGTACTCATTTGGTTCAATTAAGTTCTTGCTAGCTTTCTTATTGAAATTCTTTTGTTCAATTTTTTGTTTGATTTTCTATATAGTGTATTTATAACAATTTTTCAAGAGTCTCTTCTTATCAATACTAGAAATTAATCCTTCTTAATATAGAGTAGATTATTTCTCTTCTTGAAGACATTTAAGTATTTCAAAGATTGTGAATTATCCTCATCTAAATTGATATCGTTTAAATTTTTTTTTTTTTTTTTTCTTTTAAGTTGGTTGGAAGTAAACATATTAGTATGGTTGAATCTCTTGAGTCCAAATTAGATATTATTATGAACAAGCTCAATGCTTTATCTTATATAATTATTAAAATTAAGGATTTTTTTGCAAGATTTTATGGTGATGCAAGACTTATAACAATTTAATTTATGATGCAACTACTTTCTTAAGATTCTACATTCAAAAAAGTAGTGGCACATGTACCTCATTAAAAAATTCACCTATTCAACAACATAAGAAGCCTTATGTCAAGGACATGAATCTCGAAGAAAGGAAATCCTCAATACACTCTTCTATCACTGAAGAGAATTAAAAAGTCACTCAAAAGGTGATGTAATATTAACTAGAATGGCTATTGCCAAAAACAAGAAGTCTAGAAAGTCTTGAAACAAGTCTAAGACTAGAAAGGCATTGACAAGAGTGAAGAAGGCTTCGCTCTTGCCTCCATATATACTATCTAATTAAGAGCCACGTGGCGATGTCCTATAGGTCGTCCAACATGTGTTGACTTTGCTAGCTACATGTCTTATCTTGCAAGGCAAGTTATCTATGTATGTGCCATGTCATTGGCTTGTTCCACAAGCTACTACATGGAGGTAACTTGTTCCACAAGCTACTAATACATGGTTAGCTTTTTGGCCAAGTTTCTAACCTACGAACACATCTAAAGTCAAAATCGCGTCTATAAAGCTTCTAGGAAGCTTCTCTAGAAGACTTTATGAAATTATTCTATTTTACTTACTTCTACTTAATCATATAAATAACTATTGAGGTAAATATATATGTCTATGATATTATCTCCTTTTCTAGGGCGAGTTCTACGAGGAGCAGTCTTCATATGTTGAGGAAGTCCAAGATGTGGCGAATTATATTTGCTACATATTCTGATCTTTGCTCTCTTTGAAGATGGTTGATAGGTCCTCTCAACCATCTATAGTGTCTCATACGAGGGCAAAAAGACCACCTTCTAATAAAATCACTAAACATCGAGATTCTCTTCTAAGGTCGTGATACCAAATCTATTGTATCTCGCCATTTATTCAAGGAAGGACATGTCATTCTTGAGGATCTTCATCTCGATTTCATCGTCTTGAAGGTTGTGACAATCACAATGTCTCATCTGGTAAGTCCGCAAATGAAAGCTGTTGAGTTGAATTTACTGATTGTTGGTATTCCATTTCATCACAAATATAAAGAAGCTACAATGAAAGATAGAAGGTAGAATATTATTTTTTTTTATCTTGTTTCTTTTATACCAAAGGTTTGTTATTTTTCATCTTGATTTTGATGGATGTCGTTGATGAAAGACTTAAAATTTCTTTGCTACATTTATAAGATTCTTTGATGGCTCCTATGTGCGTTCACTAATATTGTATCGGTGCCAATGAACAAGATATTCCAACCTATTTCGATGCCATCTTGAGTCTTAGACTTCTTCTACCTCAAACTCTTGATTATTATCTACTTTTATAGGAGGAGGTGGCATTTGTCTTCTTCCTAAGATATTCACTCTCTTATACGGCTCTAGAAGAGACACGTGAAATACAGGGTGGATCTTCATAGACTCTGGTAGATGTAATCAATAGGCAAAAAAATTGATTTTTTCACAAATAGGAAAAGGTCCAAGCCTATAATAATCTAATTTATCATAAGGACGAATAGTCTTGATATTACGACAAAGTAACCATACCTTGTCGCCCATATTATATTTTGGTTGTTCCTTGCCATAGGGATCTATGTTGGTCTTTTGTCGTTCTTGAACTTCCTTTAATTGTATCTTCATTGTTATGTGTAGCTCTGACAAGCGATTTGCTAAATCTTCTACCATAGGATTATCAACTTTTGAAAAGTCAAAAGTATCAAGATATGGATGATGACCATAATTGGCAAAGAAAGGTGTTTGTTGAGTGGAAGAATGTATCGAATTATTATATGCAAACTTTATCAATGGTGCAAGAGTTGTCCAATCATCTTGATGATAATTGATAGTACATTTCAAATACTACTCCAAAACTTAATTTATCCATTCTGTTTGTCCATTAGTTTGAGGATGAAAAGCTGAAGAAAGATTTATATCCACTTTTAGAATCTTGAATAGTGTTCTCCCAAATCTTGATACAAATTGAGTCCCTCTATCCGATATAATATCCTTTAGTAATTCATGATAGTAATAGATATTGTTAATGAAAATCTTAGCTATTTCTTCACCTATGATAAATTTTGTACATAGTACAAAATGTGCCATCTTGATAAAACAATCTACTATCACGAATATAGAATCATAAGAACCTGAGATTGGAAGATCCGTGATGAAATCCATAGAAACAGAAGACCATGGTTGTTCTAGAATAGGTAACGGCTGAAGAAGTCCGTAAGGTCAATGACGAGGAGTTTTTGATCTTGAGCAAACATCACAAGATTGTACAAAATCTTTGACTGCCTTCTACATTTGCGGCCACCAAAAATCCTCAAATATTAGTTCCAAAGTTTTATTATACACAAAGTATCTTATTGCTGGAAAGACATGACAAGCTTGAAGAACATGTAATCGGGCTTCACCTTCTGGAACATATATGCGTCTTTCAAAATATAATAGATTATTCTTGAATTCAAACTTGGAAGTATCATAGGACTTAGAGGAAGTATCTTTGATATCTCGAACAAGAGAATCAGAGGACATACTTGATTGAATTTGCTTCACAAATATTGAATCAACAATCAATGTTGATTTTA